AAAATGTTTATAAATGACAACAAAGCTTTTGGCATGTAGTTAAAGCAGAATTAATTATAATGCAGGAAACATTATAGAGATTATTATTTTTTATTATATATTTTTTTTAGTTTTGTGGGGTAGTTTATTCAAACTGTTGGACAGAGCTCCCATCATGGGAGCTGAGCCTTGGAGCTGAACAAGGTGGGGATGACCAGGTATCAAAAGGTAAAAGGAGCTTAGCTGAGCAGCAAGAGCAGCATTAGGGCCAGGCTAAGCAGGAGCGGCCAGGCCCCATTGAACCCAGCTCCATTCATGGCCTCGGCATAGAATCTGGCCACCTCCTCTTTGGGGTTGCCTTGGGCTGTGTCAAACCACATCTGGATGCAGTGGCTACTGCCTTGGCTATAATTGCTGACTGTAGGAATTATTTCATTGCACAGAGCAGCAGGCATGGGGAAGTAGAAATCAAAGTGGGGCAGGCAGCCTTCGCTGGGCGCTCATTAGACCCTGAGGTCCAGGTCCAGCTCTTGTGCCAGTTACTCTTGCAGGTGTAGGAGGTGCGGCAGTCTTCCCACCAGCTCTCAGTCCTCTTTGCACAGGGTATTCAGGATCCTCTCTCTGTGCCAGCTCAGGTTCACCTCCTGGGTCCAGGGCCCCAGGTTGGGGGAGCACTCATAAGGCAGGTGTCTTGGATGAAGTGGTGCTTGTGGGTGGGTTTCATCAGGCCGCAGTGGTCCCAGTTGAATCTGTACAGGCAGGAAACATCTCTATGGCTTCCTTGCTGGTGTTGACAGAGCAGCATTCTTCTTCCAGGGACTGTGCTGCTCATGCAGCTTGTCCTCCAGGCTTGGCTTATCCTTGTGGTGCTTGGCATCCTTGCAGACATTGGGAAGCTCAGTCCTGGGCCCAGCTGCCCATACTTCAGCCCCCCCACACCAGAAGGAGCTGTGTTGTCATTGTTCGAGCCATGTCAGACCCTGAAGGAAGAGCTGTAGTCAGTGACTTAATAGAGATTATTATACTAAATGAAGTAAGCCAGTCATAGAAGGACAAATACCATATGATCTCACTTATCTGTGGAATCTAATGAACAAAATAAACTGATGAACAAATCCGAAACAGGTATGGATACATGGAACAGACTGACAGCTGGAGGGCGGGGCCTGGAGGAGAAAGGGGAGAAGGAAGGACTAGATGAAAGAAGATGAAGGGATTAGCCAAAGAGCTTATATGCATAACCCATAGACACAGACACAGTGTGGTGATGGCCATAGGGAAGGGGATGGGCATTCTGGGTGGATGTGGGCAAAGGGCAGGTGAGGGTGGGGACATCAGGTGAGGGTGGGGACATCTGTAATAGTATCAATAATTTTTTTAAAAAGTATATGTTAAAATCAAACATTGAAAATATTCAATAAAAGTAGTAAGTTAGCAAAAGAATATTGTAGCAAATTCAAAATAGAAAGCAGGAAATAATGAACACAAAAACATAAATGGAATGTGAAGAAATGCAATAGTAGAGAGAATCAACAAAGCCAAAGTTTATTTCTAGAATATAGTAATAAATCAACCTCTAGGAAGACTGATACATTTAAAACGTTTATAAAAATTAATATTAGAATATTTAAAGTAAATTCAATTGCAGGTCCAGAAATTAAATCAGAGTGGTGGGTAGGTAGATGTTTATTATATCAGGCTCTGGGCTTCTTTTTGTTAGAAATATTTCACAGTTTAAAATATTAGAACTTCTCTTTAGGCATTGTGCCTTCGTCCAGGCATTGCCTGTTGCCTGTCCTCTAACTTTAACAGGTACCGGCTCTCCTATTTTTGTGCATCTCGCTCCATGTGACTCATGCATTCCTGCTTTGTAAATGCATGGTAGGAAGTTGAAGCAGTGGCAGGTGAACTATGAAATCAACAGAATACATGCCTCTGGCAGAGGTTAGGGAAAACAGGAAAGACTCCTGTCCCTAGGAAATGGCCCCAGGGATAGCTTTGATAAAAGGCACAGGCTTTCTCGAGTCCTCTCATCCCCAGCCATCTCAAGAGTGACCAATTGCATTTCCTTATCAGTTTGATATTATTGTTCATCCCTTTTGCAGTTCCAAAACTTCAAAATATGGGTGTAAAAATTAACGTGCACTCTCTGGCTTCCTCTGAGATGCAAGCATACTTTTTGCATGAATGTGGACTCAATGTATAGTTTTTACTATTCAACTTTAAATGACTGACTTCCTCTCTCTCAAGCTTCCTTCGATTTGAATAGTGTTTTTCTATTCAATACATTCAAAGTATTTTTTTAAGTTTATTGGCTATGATTCTTAAGTCTGATAAGCACACTATTCTAAAGTTTATATTGTGAGGAAAATTATGATGTCATCAGTTTCTTTTTTTTTTTTAGTATTTCCCTTTCTTCCCTCATAAAATAAATGACCTAATTTTCTTATGTCCTAGAGTATTGTTCCTCTTCTTTTTTAAAAGGAGCCTTTGTTTCATTATTTTAGTTGGTTATGAGGTCTGTAATTTTCCAAAGGATAACACTTTTGGTTATGCTGTTTGACCATTTAGATCAAGTGTGGGGAACACTTTTCCTGCCAAGGGCCATTGGGATATTTATAACATCATTCACAGGCCATACAAAATTATCCACTTAAAAATTAACCTGCTATCTTTGGTCATACATTTAATTAACTCAACCCTAATGCCTAATGATTTTGTGGGCCTTATATGGCCCTTGGGCCAGATGTTCCCTACCACTATATAGATTAACTGTTTTTCCTTACACGGCATGGGGTCTGGGAGTTAGCAGTGTAATGTCTTAGTGATGATCAGGTACAGGTGCATGTGGAGAAGGTGCTATTGTTTCCTTGAAACACTTGGGTAATCTAAAAGAATGTGTCTGTCATTACTATCTGGTGACTGAGTGGCAAACTAGAGAGAGTAAGTCCCCTGAGAGAAAGTGACCAGATGTCTGAGCACTGCTCTGGTCCCTCAGACTCAGTTAAGAAAACTGTGAGTTTACCGTGTACATTACTATAGGTTGACACGATTACTACAATAACCTATTCTTTTACAATAAGACAATTTGCTCTTTCATATTCCCAGTGTTTGTACCATGCATCCATGTTAATTTCCTTCAGCAATAATTTAGTCCAGCTTAAATGTATAGGAAGTAAAAGCCTAATATGATTTGGTTCTTAATGTCATTTAAATGTTAACAAAATACTAAATTACAACAAAATAGCAATTGAAGGTATTTTCCCTAGAGAATCACACAAGAAACCTTTGAGGTATTATAGTAAGCTCAGATAGTATAATCACTTTCTATAAATGAAGACATTGAATTTGAGAGGTTCCGTATGGATAAGGTATACAGTGGTATAAATAGGCCTGCGTAGGCTTCCTGTGGTGGTGATGCTCACTTGGGATTCCAAATATGGCCTCTCCACTTGCAGTACAAACACTCCTACTTATGACTGTTAAGTATATAAATGTTACTTTAAACGTACAGTTATGTGACTAAAAATAGGAAATAATTAAAATAATTATACTTTTTTTTTCTTTGTGGATTCAGTACTATGCTTAAGTGAGAAAGTTGTCATTTCCTTATGTCTTCCCACAGTATTTGCTAACATTTATCATATCTGTCAGTGTTCGTATGGTACTGTATTTGATAGAGAACATAATCTTTAAAAAAAATTTAAAGCTAAGCCAAAAGATTATCTCAGAACTTGAAGGATGTATATCTGTGGTCTATGTTTATTTTATTAATTAGGTGATGCTCTAGTATGCATTTTAAATTGTGTTTGTATGGACCAGACCTTAAGCCATTTCACTAAATATTTGGAAACCATTCCACGAATTTACTCCTAGTCACCACCTGCCTTAGCTTCAGGCTAGAGCAGTGATTTTCGACCTTTCTCATCTCATGGCACACAGAAACTAATTACTAAAATTCTGCTATATATATATATATATATATATATATATATATATATATATATCGCCAATCTGATTTTTTTAAAGGTATAATTTTGATTCATTCACACTGGATAGCTACTGTTGTTGGCTGTTGTCATTTTTTTTTTAATTGGACAATCTAAGGGCAAAGAGGTCAGTTTCTATGACTAAATAGTCAGGTGTGCATGTTTTAAAAATTCTTGGGGCACACAATTTGAAAATCACTGGTCTAGAGACTTGAATAATCTATTGCAGAGGATAGGGAGTTTTGGCTACTTTGGTTTTCATGTGCCTACATTAGACAGTGAGGCCAGCATCTCCTGCCTCAATTTTCAAAGAATGTGGTCTGATATAACATCCCTCATTAGATGCTTCCCGTAGCCTCTTCTATAACAGTTCCCTGGGATAAGGTTAATGTAATTTACAATAGGATGTCAGGAGACATTTAGGGGGGGGAAAATTCACATATAAATGTATATATTTTTTCTTATTTACGATTCCCTCAAATGTCAGTCATTTTACCTACTTTTCTCACCTATTAAATGGACATAACATTTTATGGCAACTGATGAGAATTATTTGAGAAAGGTTTAGGATTCAGAGATGCTTTCTTGGCTGAAAGTTATTTTTATTGACACTGCTGAAGTCTTTGAATCTTACCTGCCTTCACTAAGTTTTCTATATACATATGCTTTGTTATAAAATACTTACCTGCCGAAGGTAAATATTTTATTTTCTGACTGCCTTTGTGGTGTGTATTTTTTCCCCAAGTGGGCTTTTCCAAAGCTAATTTATCTGCAGAGACATATGCTTTAGGTCTGTACTTGTTAATTTACCTTGGAAAAGATTAGGTCACCTTCAAATCTGGCAATGTGGCTTATAAACTTGGCAAAATGGACTAATTAAAAGCTTTCCATAGATTTATAAAAAGGAAATGATTACTATCAGTAGTGTTTTCATTTTTTACGGTTTGTGTATATATAGGTATATGTCACTTCTCATGTTGCATTTAAAGTATGTTGTCTGTCTGCTAACAGTTCATCTCCTTTCTTCTACAGCCTCCAAGTCTGTTATAAATAGTCTGCTTCGGGACCCTTCTCAGATTCCAGATGGAGTTCTAGCAAATCAGGTCTATCAGGTATTAATCACAGCTGTCTATTTTCAGTGGCAATGCTGTTATCTGCCTAGCAGAGTAAAGGATTTTAAACCTCATTTAATTACTGTCATCATAAACTATCACTGAGGTCAGGGTGCACCGTAATGGCAATGCAATATTTGTGAGAAGAGCATTTCACTTTTTAATAGCTTGCTTTTATAGTGAATAAAAAGCATGCAATTTTTGTTTTCTGTGATTAAATCTGCACAGCCTTTTAATAGCGTTTTTAATTTCTTTTTTTAATTCAAGGATACTGCTTTTAGTATGCTGTTTAACTGTAATAGTTTTTGTAGTCGCCCCACCCCAGACCCCTTCTCTTATTTGTCTGTAGTGCACTGTGAATGACTGCTGTTATGGACCGCTGGTGGACTGCATCAAACAGTATCCTTGCCCATAAAATTTTAGGTGCACAATTGACGAGCTTAGACTCGGCGGAGGAGACGTGTCTAGCTTGAACATGACATAAAGTTCTGCTTCACAAAACACATATCATACTCTTCTATTTTACATTCCATCAACTGGAGGGTCACCGCAGACCATCCTTTTCCACAGTGCAGGAAAAGCCAGATAGGCCCTGGGAAGATGTCAGTTCAGCTGCTGCATCTTTACATGCTTATTTCAGACTGCTTGGTTTTCAATGAGTTTAAAGGTACAGAGTCATTAGTCAGGTAGCATACTGTCTTGGAACGTATCTAACCATCCCGATGAACATTTTTTTAAAAATAGAACAAATTTCTATTTAAAATGAACCAAATTCAGTTGAGTTTGCTAGAATAAATTTTGCCTGAAGTTAAAGGATGATGTGATTAAAATGCTGCCAGAGACCATCACATTTTAAAGGGCAGTAGATTCTCATTGCTTAAATGCTGATTACAATCTGAACTGTCACTTGTATCCCCAATAAACACTTTTAGAGAAACCCAGATAATTTTTCTCTCTGGATGGATTTAAGGCTAAGAAAACATGTCCAGTCTTCATTAAAGACTTTGGCATTACTGAAGAGTTAATGCTTGCTTCTTAAAACAGGATTTGAGTGAACAGTAATGACTTCATAACATAGGACATTATTCCTCAATATGTTTAGTAGTATGGTGGCAACACTAAGAATTTTAATATAATCATTGACTAAAAATGCTACTTAAAGCATAAATAATAAGTAGTTTTCTAAATTAAAATTGTATCTATCTGAGCCCATGAGTCTCACATTTCTCTTTCTTTTTTAATATATTTTTATTTATTTCAGAGAAGAAAGGAGAGGGAAAGAAAGAAACATTAATGATGAGAGAGAATCATTAATCGGCTGCTTCCTGCACAGCCCCTACTGGGGATCAATTCCCCAACTTGGTCATGTGCCCTTGACCAGAATTGAACCTAGGACCCTTCAGTCCACAGGCTCACGCTCTATCCACTGAACCAAACCAACTGGGCTCCCACATTTCTTATAGTACAACATACACTTCCTGGTATAGGCTTTTTGTGTTTTTGTGTGTTTTTTATAGCCCTCGCTAGTCAAGTGTGTATGTGCATGCACATGCATGTTTATATTCCACCTTGATTCATAAAAGTTGAGAGTCAGTTAAAAAAAAATTTAAATCACTCATTTACTTTTTCATAAAGGTTAATTTTAAAAATAATATTTTTCCATTTTTATTTATTGATTCTTAGAGAAAGGGAGAGAAAGAAACATTGATTTGTGGTGCCACTTATTTATACATTCTTTGGTTGATTCTTGTATGTGCCCTCATAGGGATTGAGCCCACAGCCTTGGTATATGGAGACAATGCTCTAACAATTGAGCCAGCCAGTGCCTAAAAATAATCTGCAAGAATATTCAGCATCTATGTCATAGCCCTTCTCCAAGTGTGTTTCTCCCAACCTAACTTAATAGAATCACAGCATTGTCATAAGCTAACCTTTTTATTAGACCAAAATAAAACAATACTTTTATTTTCAGGGTAAAATTAATGGTAGTTAGAAGTTGTAGGAATGCCAACCTCAAGTTGTTATAGCAATCAAGTTTACCACATTCGTATAACAACTAACACCATCTCAGAGTATCTGGGGCGGAATTACATGTTAATTTTCAAGCACATAAAATAGTTAAAAATCAATTTAAAGTTAAGGTTTTAAAAGCATAATGCCTTTTGAAGGATTGCATATTGATTTTAAACATAACTATCTAATTATATATGCATGGACTAAAGTATGAAGTCAACTGCTTTGTAAATGCCAGGAGGCTATTTTTCAGTAATAGTTGAGATGCTTACGGGAAACTAGACTGCTGTATTGCTGGCGAAGAAAATGGCTTGTGAGGTTATTTACAAGTTTTGCCCCATGGTCACTGCCATACATCAATAATAGGTATTATAGACGAAGTCTAAGTGTTTCTGCTTATGGAGCATTATAAATTCTGTTTGGAGTATTTTCCTTACATTTTTGCCATCATTCACTTTCCTTTTTTTGCTGTGTAGAATTTAATGTAGACAAGATTTCAATTGATAAAGATAATGATATATGTCTATAAATTGCATTGACTGGCTAGATTATAATTTGGCAGTTCCATTACTGTGCCTATTGCCAGAAAAATTACTGTTTTTACAAGCATTATTTTCTAGACCTTATATTTTATATATGTTTATATCCAAGCAAAGTAGAACCAAAAGCGTATTTTTCCAAAATTTAAAATTGGTGATTGCTTTTACCGTGCAAAATAAAATAGGCTGGGAAGTTTATAGAGAACTGATTTTTATCTTTGCATTGAGGTGGTAGCAGTTTTATATAATGTAAATATACTTGCATAGTTATCACCTAGACCCGTGGTCAGCAAACTCATTAGTCAACAGAGCCAAATATCAATAGTACACGATTGAAATTTCTTGAGAGCCAAATTTTTTAAACTTAAACTTCTAACGCCACTTCTTCACACATACTCGCCCAGGCTGTGGTATTTTGTGAAAGCCACACTCAAGGGGCCAAAGAGCCACATGTTACTCACTAGCCTCAGTTGCCGACAACGGGCCTAGACTGATCAACAGGAGTTATTTTATTTCATACTGAATAAAATTACTAGTTTTCCATGTGAGTGAAAATGCTATTTATAAGTTGTTTTGATAATTTGGTAATGCTTACATCACTTACTTTCAGTAAATTACATCATTTTGTAAGAAAGAAAGCGTATAATAATATGTAGTAAATTGAATAGATAGAAAACTTTCTTACTCCATTATAAAAATGTTACATGTAGACCTTTGTGTAAGTAAGATAAAGTAAGTTGGTTATTTACTAATAGACATCAAGAAAGTACAGTAGCAAAAAGAATATAAATTATCCTTATGTTTTCTTTTTCTTTCTGTGTCCACCATTTCTTTTTTCCTCCATAGCCAGGCTCACTCACACCTTTCCTGCCACAGTTCATATTCACTGACACAAAAGGCGTGAGAAAGCAGCCACCTCAACTTTCCAAAATGTGACTTCAGGACGTAGCTATTAGACAAAGACCTAAGCAGAGAAGCAAAGAAACATAATGATGCAGGAAGCTTAAAACGCTGTGGGTTTCATTTCTGTACCATCAGTAACCTCAGTTTCATGATTCAACATTTTAGATGTAAATAATTTACAACAATAAAAGTGAGAGCACATTTATGTGGGATAGGAGTAAATAATTTAGTTCTAAGATGTGGTACGCCTCTAGTAATGAGAAATCATTGAGGTATTTATCAAATCTCTTCAATGGACTCTGCGCATGTGTGAAATTTTGTGATTTAAAAATGTGTTTTCTTTATTTTTTTTCCATTAAAATTTTAGATAAACAGCCATGTACATTAAAGTGGGGAGGGGGAACAACAGAAGGAAAAAGCAGTGATGATGACCTCAGACTCATTTTGACAGTTTACATGATCTGACATCTCTGAAATTCTAAATGCTGTGCATAAGTGTGTGCTGATAAAGAATAGGATAATTTGCTAAGATTTTTTAAAATTTTTTTTACAAAGAATGTATGAGATTTATTCATTTTAAATTGAATTATTGCAGGGCATTGTCAGAATTAAACAGTCCCTGGGAAGTTGAGGAGGATAGGACCAGGTTGACATTATCAGTGAAATGGAGAATTAGACAATTATAACCAAATGCTTTTGACAGTGATTAAAGTACCAGACTAGGACAACACTCCTTTTCAGACTTTGCAAATCCCATCCTTTTGGAAAATACACCAGAATTTCAATCCCCTTTCCTGGTTTCATTATTTACCAGCCGTGGGGCGTTGAGCAAGTGCCTTGGCCTTCCTGAACCTTGCTTTCCCTAGCAGTGAAAATGGGGCTACCTACTTGTGTGGTTGTGCTGAAGATTAAATAAGATGATAGCACCCCAAAGTGTTCATAGCATTAAGGGTTAGCATATGGTATTTAAGAACTATTAGCTAATATCAATTATTTTACATAATTCATTTTTATTCTTTTTTTAAAAATAAATTGAAGCTGTATGGAATTTATAAATACAGGATTTGCACAGATTTTATCCTGATCCTCTCCTTTGCCACACATTAAGTGTATGACCTTGTGCAGAGTCCTTTCTAAGCCTCAGTTTCCTCATCTATAAAATAAGGATAATGGTAACTGTAAGGATGAAATAACATATATGAAGCCCTTAGCAGAGTGCCTGCCTCAGAGTAAGCACTCAAAGAAAGTATATGTGTGTATCTATCTATATGCATATTATAATATGTGTACACTTGCACATACAGGAGAAAAGGACTTGAGCCAGTCTCTGTACACACTAACCTACAGTCCTTTTACTAAGATGTCTTTCTTTCACATTATATATAACTCTCAACAAGTCAGTTGTTTGGCTTCCCAAGTCCCAGAAGCTCACCAACAGTGACTGGAGGTAAAACAGGAGCTGTAAATGCCAGCTGTGTGGCACGTGTGAATTCACAGAAGATGTGGAACTCTGTAAGACTGGCAGCTCTTTCAGCATAAAGGTTTGTTGGTCTTCTTTGCTGCACTAAGTGCATAATAAACCTGTGCTGAATTGAATTGAGAGATGTTTAACATAGCCTAAAGGATGCTTAAAATGACCATCCTCTTTTCAAAAGAAGATAAACTACATACATATCCATTTACGAATCTTTATTTGCCAAAATGCATATAAGCATTAGAGAAAAATTCCATTGAATCATTTAAAATGAGGGGAGGTGGCCCAGTGGTTGAGCATCAACCTATGAACCAGAAGTTCACAGTTTGATTCCCCGTCAGGGTGCATGCTCGGGTTGGGGACTCAAGCCCCAGTTGGGGGCGTGCATGAGGCAGCCAATCGATGATTCTCTCTCATCACTGATGTTTCTATCTCTCTCTCTCTTCCAATTTCTGACATCAATAAAAATATATTTTAAAATTTAAAATAAAATGAAGGGAGGTAGATAGAAATCTCAGGGAGGTAGTCTAAAGTTAGAAATAGTAGCTAAAATTACATCTTATTTTTCTTTTCATCTCAAAGTATAACCCTGGTGCTAGTGTTTTCCTGATAGCATCTTTTCATAATTCTGTGTGTCACCCTCCTTAACTCAAACACCCCAGTGCTATTGGCCATGAGCACGAAATCCTGCTGAGAGACTTGCTTCTGGAGAAAAACTTGTCCTTCCTCGGTAAGTATGGCTTACATCCTCTCCCACTCGTAACAGCTCCAGGAGTGCTTAAATATATATTTTTAAAATCTTCCTCTTGCACTTATTATGTACTAACGGAAGAGTGAACGATGATTGATGCTCTACATGTTATCTTTTATTGATTTAGAACTGAGCAGGAATCTAGTTACCTAATCCCCCATATATACAGCACATGCACAAGCTTGCAATTAATATTTTATGGAATAAGTGGCTGAAAAAAATGCTTTAATATCTGATACAGTATTACTTTTGGTGTCATGAGATATTAACCATAATCTAGGCTTTATGAAAGAAGGAAGCAAAAGAAATATTGTCTATAAAATGCTTTATATATTAAAAAGAATGGTTAGAAAAATTCCTGTTAGGTATGTTTGTCTGGTGTACGAGATCGGGTAGTTCTTTTCCTTGAAAGCCAGATATTAAGCTTTTATTACTTTTATGTCAAACATTAACTGTCATCATAGATTTAGTGTGATTTTAAAAATCTCACATGTATGCATGTGTTTGTGTGCCAGTGTGGAATCTTATTGTAGACTATTATTTCTTTCAGTATCTCTGAAGCATTAGAAATTAAACCTCAAAGGGCATGTATGTGATAACTGTGGAAATCATAAAGCATTCTATGTTGAATTAACTCCTCTTTTCCATTTTAGATGTGGTAATTTGTAAAGGTTCCATATAAATTGTATTATTGTACACATCTGTTTTATGTAGATATTTAAGTCTACCTAGTGTAATTTTTTAGGTGAAAAAATAAAAAAATATTGAATTACATAATTTTTGTTTGAAAATGGACAGAGAATTGGTCCAAGGAAAGTCAAATGAATGATTTTGCATCAAGTTGGAGAGAGAGATGGACTACATCCCTGCAAGAAATCTGGTTTAAGTCTTTAATGTTCAGCATTTTTATTAATGAACTGGAGAATGGAGTTGAATGTGTCATAAGATTGTTGGTAACTTGGAGGTGGGAGATACAAATATTCTCTAGTGTCAAAGAAAGTTGATAAATTAGGAAAGTGGCCTCAAATTATTGAATTAAATTTCAATATGTAAAAGCAGCAAGTTTTTCTCATATATGATAGAAGAACAATTGAAGTGTTCAGCCTATGGAAAAAAGGTAAATTAGATAGAAATTGCCTTTTAAGATTTAATAAATAATAGAATGTATAATGGATCGGAACCAGTTGTGATAGATGACTTCTGAGGCACCATGAGATATGTTTAAGAACCATGGAGTTTTCATAGTGTTATGAAATATCAGATCACGTCGATCACTCAGTGGCCAATATCACATGGTCAAATCTATTGCATTGTTTTAAACCACCACTAAGCAGTCATAGTTTCAGGATTGCTTGGTGTTACTCTCTTGGCACCACCTGCTTACGTGTAGTCAGGCCCTCAGCATCATTTCTTTGCTTAACCTAGCTTTTCTCTGCTTTCTTCTTGAGGATGAAAGACCAGTAGCTTAAATGTGCTCTAGTCCTAGATTTTCAACTCCCTGGATTCTGGGAACTGAGTGTATTAGACTGGCTTCCCCATGGCTGACAAAGGCAATGCAACAGCATAGCCAGGAGTTATTACCACTCACAGACAAGTTCAGAAAGAGGATTTAAAATTGATGGGTCCCATCTATTCCTCTGTCCTATAGCATCTGGAGGTAATTATTTCATTGAAGCATACCCACAGATGATACTTAACTGATCTTTAAAAATAAATGAGTTATAGGATGTTTAGCTGACTCCATGAAACCTCAGTCCTGCTTTGAAGCATTTCCTCATCAGCATACAAAGAAGTTGTTAATTTATTCTATGCCTTTTAAGGGTTTTAATGTATTACTGAATTAATATGTTTACATATGATTAGAACATCAGAATTCAGAGCCTTGTATGAAATATGGTTATGGGGTTTTTCTTTTACCCCTTCACTATGATTAATGAGATCTAAAGTACTATGCCAGGTAAATTTAGATAGATCATCATTTTAAATCCAACTATGGGGAAATATTGGTACATAAATAGACCACTAATCTGATTGTATGTTTTCTTTGTTTGCATTTGTACATATACCTTGAATTTTGTTGCAGAGACATTACAAACATGTTTATTTTACTTTGATTCTTTTATAAGCAAAATTACAATCTCTCCCTCCCTGGTATCCTTCCTTCCTTTCCCCTCCCACTCTCAGGGTTTCTAATCTGGACTACTTTTGAAAGGCAAGGATTCTTACCGTTTATACATAACCCTTCTTAAGAATTATGACTTCCTTGAAATTTTTTACCCCATTTAAATGTTCTACTTGCCGAAACCGGTTTGGCTCAGTGGTAGAGCGTCGGTCTGCGGACTGAAAGGTCCCAGGTTCGATTCCGATCAAGGGCATGTACCTTGGTTGCGGCCACATCCCTGGTAAGGGGTGTGCAAGAGGCAGCTGGTCAATGTTTCTCTCTCATCGACATTTCTAGCTCTCTATCCCTCTCTCCTCCTCTCTGTAAAAAATCAATAAAATATATTTTAAAATTTTTTAAATGTTCTACTTATTGTGCTCTGTATGTCATTTTATAAAATAAATACTTTATCTGATCTATTTTATCAATAGAAGAGAAAAAGAAAAATAAAATACATTTATCTTAATCCTAATCCTTTCTTAAATTTCCTTGATTCATAACCATGTACTAAGCAGTTGCTATATATAAGATTTAGCCAGGCAATACTGGAAAAAGAGTCCTTTTCTTTGATGATTTGGGTATACGCAATGGGATTTATCCTATCTTGTAAATCTATTACTTTTGTACAACTACAAATAGGTATATTGTATTAAGAGAAGTCACAGTTGAATAAAGGACTTTAGTTTCTACAACTAAAAACATACTCATATATTCATCCATTAATTCCAAAAATTAAGATTTGAAGTTAAGTACTATTTTAGATACTAGACAGAATCCCCATTAAGTCCTCACATTTGTGGAGTTATGGTCTAGTGGGGAGACAAACTACAAACAAATGACTATAGATAACTCCTAACAGTTAATTATAATTCTTGTAATAATTTTATCCATTCTTTTCAACTAACTTTTGTTTAGTGCATTGTCTGTGTGCCAGGAATTACACTAGTTAATATGAAGATGATGTAAGCACTTTGTGCCCTCTGGATGCTCATAGCCATGCTCTCTATGGCCATGTTTGTCCCAGTAAGAATGCATCCCACTTCTGGTGCATCTTAGCAGGTGCTCGCTTGATAGTCTTGATAATGAAAACAAATATATTCCAGGCTACTGTTGTGCTGCTTTTATTAAACTTTTGAAAGAAAGTTATGGATTATATTAAAAACTAAATAGTTACCCTTTATATATGTAGAAAGTGCTACGAGCTCATAAATTTCTTTTCCTGTAGTGGTGATAGAATTTTACTTTTTCATCATCTCTCTCTCTCTCTCTCTCTCTCTCTCTCTCTCTCTCTCTCTCTCTCTCTTTCTTTTTCTCTCAGCATCTTCCTGCCACCATGTGCTTCTAGAATGGCTAGTTGAGCTCCTTAGCTTGACTGTCTTCCCACAAAGCTAGCCACTCTTTTAAGTTCTTGCCATGGGCAGGCACCATAAAGAATAAAAAAATAAAAGTTGAATCAAACATGGAGCCTTCCAGAAAAATTTCAGTTAAGGACATGTCAGTTCTTTCCAGGGATAGTTAACTTAGAATTAAGATTTATTGATCTGCGTTTAAAATCTCAGCAAATATGAAGAACCTGCTGCCCACTTCTAGGCTTGGGTGCACAAACCATCTTAAACTGTAAATTGACCAGTGAGCAATGTGATCATCCTCATCCCCTGTGCTAAAGGTTTGTTCCATTTATAGTATCAGTGAAGTAGAAAATGTGCTTCATATACTGATGGAGATTGAACCACATCCAGCACAGCCAGTGGTGAACCTGAGGAGGGGCAGTGAAGGATTAAAGAAAACAGACAAGAGAATATAGTTGGGGCCAGGTGGATCACTGTGCCCGGATGAGGACCCAGTGACCCTGCCTGTAAGCTGAATCTTTATTTTGTTGTCAAATCACACAAAGCAAAACAAGGGAATGATCAAGATGTTTACAATGTTCTTGCCAGTTTCAAATCTACTTCTTTGCTGTTGTTGCAATTCTCTGAACTCTGTCAAGCTTTGTTTTAGCAGCACTTGCTGTACTTCCCACAGCCTACATCTCTCAGTTACCTAGTACTACAAGGTCAGACTAATAGGTCAAGCTTACATATAACTGTAGCCTTTGATTATAATTGTGCTGGGAGGGCTTTGCCCTCCAAGCTTGGACTTATATCCTTCTCATCAGTCCGAGGCTTGAACCTGTCCAAACGCTGTAGCTGCTTTCCACAGAGATGTTTCAGTTTGTATTTCTCTAGTGATTAAGGTGACCACATTTTGTTATATTCTCTCCCTCTCACTTCCTACCCCTTTTCTGAGAGATGTTTGGGGGAAGAGCTTTGAACAAAAGACAAAGGAGGAAAGGCAAATAGTGACAGTGAGAAACACCCAGGTCGTTTGCACCATTAGTGAAAATATGGAACAGCTTATACCAAAGACTATAAGTAAACTGTGCATCATCCCTAGGTTGGCCTTGTTCTAGGTCAGAAGGACTTCCATTAGTGACTGCCAGGGCCACTCTGTTGTTAAGTTTGGCTCAATGGGATGGTTCCAGAGACATTTTTTTATTTGCAGTGAATGTTGCCCTGTTGACACTTGAGAGGTATTTGCTTTATCTCTGCCTCACCAACCCATGTTAGGCCTTGCCTACGACAAACCAGCAGATTTTACACAGGTACTTTTCTAGCATATGTGTATTACCCCACGGGATTCTAAGAGGCTATACTCTCTCAAGCCAAATAGGCTAGTGAAGGATGTCCCTTACCGGGAGAAATCAGAATCTTGGTTACTAAGAGTTCATCTCCTAGAACTTGATCTTCCTGCACAGCATCAGTGCTCTGCTGGGGAGGTG